GGAGTTAATTCCTGTCAGTTCTCCAGAGGACTGTCACAGAAGCAGCTGAGTTTCCATCCCAGCTCCCTGTGTGAAGGAGCTGCACTGTGGCATTTGAGCCAGAAAATCTGAGAGTAGAATCTTAGAGCCAACTAGGCTGGAAGGGACCCACAAGGATTGTGGGGTCCTGATGTTTTCCCCCCTTTCAACCCCCTAAATTATCATGCTAGCCCAGAGATCTGAGGCTTTGAGGGGAGGAATATCAGGAGATAGGCGAAGATTTCCAAAAGATGCTCTTACCCTGATATATGTTGGTCCAGGTCTCTTTATTCTGTGATGTCCTAGGGGAGAGCGGGGCAAAAGAGGACGAACAGGAAATGTCAGGGGTTTATCTAGGCTTTGGACAGGGAGGGCTTCTTGGCTCTCTGCCAACCCTGTCAGGGCAGGAAGGAGGGGTCCAGGGTTATCTGATCAGAGTCACAGGGGTCCTGGGGAATGGGGAAAAGGCATGTCCGAGCGCAATGTAACAGGGTCCAACTCCTGACTCTGCAGAGGAGAATGCCATGAATCCCAACCATGTACCTGTCAGTCCTATCCAAACTCCTTGAGCTCTTGTCAAGCTCAGTGCTGTGACTACTTTCCTGGGGAGCCTCTTCCAGTGCCTGGGAGACCATCCTCTGGGAGAAGGAGCCTTTTCTTAATATCCAGCCTTAATATTGGCTGTCCTGATACAGCTGTGGGTGCTCCCTGGAGTCCTGTCATGGTCACCGAGGGCAGAGGTCAGCCCTGCCCCTCTGCTTCCCCATGTGAGGAAGCTGCAGACAGTGTGAGGTCTCCCCTCACTCTCCTCCTCTGACCTCATTGCTCTAAGACTCCTCTGGCCTGGATTGTTTTGACTTTTCTCTTAACAATTTCTCCCTCTAGCTGGACTGGGCGGCATTTGGCGTGATGACCCTGCCCTCCATCGGGATCCCCCTGTTGCTCTGGTACTCAAGCAAGAGGAAGTACGACACCCCAAAGAGCAAAAAGAACTGAGCAGAGTCCAATGCCAGCAGCAGCCCAGAGCTTGGGAAAGGACAACCCCGAACCGGCTGGGTTGGGATGGCACAGTCCCCTGTGAGGTGCTGCCTGCGCTGTGCTTCAGCCCTCTGGGCAAAGGATTCGGTGGCTGCAGCAGCAGCTGTGAGGTGTCCTCTGTGTTCTCATGGAGAAACAAGCAAACAGAAAAAAGAACAACCAGAAGTCCCAAACTGCCTTGTCCAGCCCCTTTGGAGGCGGAACCCCTCTCTCCTCTGCAGCCACAGCAATCCAAGCAGCACAGCGTGTTAGTGCCCAGAGGGGCCTGTCTGTGGGGCTCTCCCCCTGTTCTGCCTCCAGCTCCCATCTGCCTGCTGGAGTTTTCTGTAGGGTGTCCTATCTCAGGGTCCCCTCCAGCTGCTGCCTGCCCTGTGGGACAGAGATTGCTCTGGAGACACCACAGACCTGATTTGATAGAGGATGTCACAGCTGCTGCTTTGCCCTGTTGATGCTGTTCTCTGGCCCACCAGACTGCCCAGGTCCATGGTGGGCTTGTAAAGCCATGAGGGTGGAGTGCATGGAGGAGGATCAGGGTTAAATTTCTCAGGAATCAGGTGCACAGACGGGAAATTCCCTGCACTGGGGACGCTCTGCTTAACTACACCCACTCACAACCCCCTCCCCTAGACGGGCTGGGCTTCAGCTTTCTGCTGACAGTGGATCAGGACATGTTCTCTGGCATCAGCTCTTTTCCTATGCCATTCTCTGACCCTCTGACCCTTCGGGTGACACTGAACCTCTTGGGACACAAAATGGTTGCTGGTGGCTGAGGAGGGCTAAGAGGGGACACTGAAACCGAAGACATCGGCTCAGTTTGTTCCAGCAGCAGCTGGATCCAGCATTCCCAGTCTGCAGGAGGGGGCTTTTGCTGGGGCACAGAGCCAAGAGTGGGGAGCTGAACCCCAGCAGCCTCATCAAGCCTTGCTGTGTCTTGAGCCACTATGAGGTCTTAGAGAGTTGGGGGACTCCTTATATTTGTGGAGAACCCTTTTGGAATGATTCTGCCAGCCCTGGCAGTGCAGTGTCACCATGTCCCCCTCTAGCAGTGCCCATACCTGCAACACCAGCCAGTCTGGGGGACAGGGGGGACCTGTCACACCCCATGGCACCGGGGACCACCCACTGGGTCATACCCAGTGCACCAGTGGGCCACAGTTGCAACACAGGGGTCCCCTTGCACTGGGATGCTCTGGGATGTCCCTGAGTACAGGGGACAGGCTCTGGTCACCAGGGGGTGACCCATAGAGTGGAGACCACTCAGAACCCTTGGGGTGCCCGTGGGTGCCAGGTTGGGGACACAAATAGCCCTCACTGTCTGAGATTTTCATGGGGGGGCTGACCACTGCCAGGTCTGTCATGTGTAGGTTTCACTCTTGGTGACAGTGAAGTGGTTGCATGCCTCCTGCCCCCATCACTGCCCATCCTCATACCAGGTGGTGACACCGGCGGTCCCCGAGCCCTGGCAGGTCAGTGTCACCCGGTCCCACAGCACCGCCGGCCTCCAGGGGACTCCATGAGGAGCTGGGGGGTCTGGGCGCCTGTGGATGACAGGGGACACCAGCCTGCCAGGGCCAGCATGGGGCTGGGGACAGTGGGGTGGGGACATGGCATCCCCCTACGACTCACCAGCGAGGCCGAGGGTCTGGGCTGGAAGGGAGAAGGGACAGGGCTGGGTGGGGGTGGCACTGTGGGGACAGGGGCACAGGGGCATGGGCTGTGGGGTCTGTCCCCAAAGTGCTCTTGTGTGGCACTAACCCCTTGGGGACAGAGAAACTGTGGCCACCCTGTAGTGAGGCAGTACATGGGGACATTGTAGACAGCCACAAAATGGGCCACCCTGTGCTGGCACAGCTCAGTGCCACCAGTCCCTTGATGCCTCCCCAAATCCTTGTTCACCATTATTGTCCCCACCTTCCTGTCCCCTCTCATGTCCGCATGATCACCCCACAACCCTGGTCACTGAACGCATGGGCTCTGCTGACATTGGGGATTTAAGGGAACCCTGCAGTCCCCCTGTGCCCCCTCCCTATCCCAGGGGTGTCAGGCCCGTGCTCAGGGCACTCACCCCACAGGAGCAGGGCCACCTTCCTGGCTATCCCGGTGTCCCCAGCCATCCAGGCTGGCTGTTGCAGGCTATTGGGGCCACTTGAGCCCTGAGTGGCGGCTCTTCAGAAAAAGGGGAAGAAGCGAGATCAGGTCTCATGCCTTTGTGTAGGTGGCCCTTGGTGGGGGCAGGGTGGCCACAAGCTGGGCAAAGCTGTGGGCAGGGTAAGGACAGACCGGGGGACAAGGCTGGGTGGCACATGGTGGGACATGGGATTCCCAGGAGTGGGGGCCTCAGGGGGTTTGAGGAGTCAGGGATGGGTGTCCAGAGGAATGGGGAGTACCAGGTATGGGCTCCCTGGTGAATGGGGGTCCTGAGGAAGGGGAGTCACTGGGGATGGGAGTGCAATGGGAATAGGGGTCCCCAGGGTGAGGGGGACTCAGGGATGGGAGTCCCAGGGGAACTCCCATCCCTGAGTGGGCTTCAGGGATTTGGGGTCAGGGGATGAGGGTCCTAGGGATTAGGATGCTGGGGGAATTGGGGATCCCATGGGCCTGGGGGCGTTCTGAGGGAAGGGGGATTTCAGGGGATGGAATGAACGGGAGAGGGTTACTTGGGAATGGAGGTCCTGGGCCATGGAGATCCTGGGGAATGTGAGTACTGGGAAGGGGGCTTCAGGCAAGGGCAGGCATAAGGAGTGGGTGTCCTATGATTGAATTTCCAGGGGAATGGAGGTTCCATGGATGGGCAGTGGCTGGCTGGGTGGGCCTGTGGGTCGAAGCCCTTTCCCTGGGTGCTGCAGATTTCGGGGTGACCCACAAGGTGCCAGTGGTCTGGGGGTCACCCCAGGCAGATTCCGAGGTGCTCTGTGTCTGTGTCCCCCTAGCCTCTAGTGACTTTTTCCTCTCATAATTTCCATTTCCATAATTTAATCCCTTAATTTCACAGCACCCCAGTTTGTGCCTTGATGATCCTGGGAAACTCCTGAGCAGGGAAAGGGTTGGGGGAACCCCAAGGTGGGGGAAGCAGGGCTGAGGGGTCTGCAGGGAGGGCTGGGGAGGCTGTGGGGGATGGGGGTGTGTCCTAGTTTACGGCAAATTGGGGAGAAAACCTCTGGAATGAGCCCCCAGAAAACAATCCCCCACGGCCCCTCCCCCCTCCCCCCCACCTAGTTCGGGAAGAAGTAGAAAAACCCTGTTTATTTAACAAACAAAACACTCCCCACCCAGCACCAAAAAAAACACCAAAAAACCACCAAAAAAACAACAGATGACAAAAAAACTCTTTCACCACTCTGAAGAGATGCCCAATCCAGAAAGTCTCTCTTAGCAATGATCGCCTGGGTCCAGGCACTGGGGATTGCTCTCCGGCACTGGGGATGGCTGCTGAACACCAGGCTTTCGGTGTTCCTCGGAGTTTCCCAGGTCCCAGTCCAGAGCAGGTTAGAATGATATTCAGGAAAAGGAAAGGGGAAAAAAAAAAAAAAAACAGTCCAGGGAAGAAAATGGACTGCTTAGCTAAACTAACTAACAAGCAAAAGCAAAAGCAGAAGCAGGAGCAAGAGCAAGCAAGCGAACCAAACAAAGCCAGCCAGCCTCTTCTAGGCAACAGACCATGGATGGAGGTGAACCAGCTGATAACAAGACAAAACAAACTTTCACTTTCAGAGTCAGTTCTGAAAGCACAGAACATAATATCAAACAAACAGAACACACGATTTGGAATACAAACGCCATAATGTCACCCTATGACAGGGTGTCCGGCTGTGCCCCTGAACATAGCCACTTCATCTCTCCTGCAGCTGAAGGAAGAGGCCGTTTGTGCTGAGTGTCACACAAGGCGGGAGGTTCTGTCCTGGGGGGGCACATCCTGGGGGGTTCAGTCCTGGGGGGATCCTGTCCCATGGGGGACACATGCTGGCCAAGGGGGTCCTGTTCTGGGGCATGGCAGCTCCAGGAGTGTTCAGACTTCTCCTTTCTTGCTCATCTCCTGCAGGATCTGAGCTGGCAAGAGCAGCTTAGGAATGGAGCCCCCAGCAAGAAGGTTTCAAAGTTTCCTCCTTGAAGCCAGTGGCCATCCAAGGCTCTGCTCTGGCCAGCCCCAGGTGGCAGCCAGGACCTGAGTGTCCCACTGGCCCCTTGGCTTTGACTCTGGCAGCTTTAGAGCTGCTGCAGAGGTGAGAGTTCTGTGGGGGGAAATGGCCTGGGTGTGGTTTGCTCAGCCCTGCAAGAGGCACAAAACCCAAAGGGAGCCCAAGCAGTGAGTCTCTGAGAGCCTTTGATGGTTTTCCGAGCAGGGCTGGTTGGAACCCCCACTGCAGGGGCAACTGCGAGGCAATCAGTCCAGAAATACAGAAATTGATAATTTTGTCTCTGTCCCCAAGGGTCTGAGAGAACCACAAAACTACTGCAAATCCCACTCCAATCTGCTCAACAACCTGACCTGGACCCTCCTTCTGCAGCCCTTTGGAACCTCCCAGAAAGAATGTTTGGGTTCTGGATGTGCACACCAGAAGAGAGGGAAAAGTGTGGAAATACTGAGCAGTGGCTGCACACGAGGGCCTGGGGAACAGAGGTGTCACAGCAGGAGCAGGCAGTGCCTAGGCAGCTGAATTCAGGGCAGGCTGGAGTGGATTTACCAGGGAATCAGACCCTGAGGCACACACGGGCATTTCCACAGATTCCTGGGCACTGTTCCAAGGATGGACAGAGCTTCTCCCCTTTGGGAGCAGAGTCCATGGGAAGTCTATGCAGTTTCAGGGTAGGAATGAGAAAAATGGGGAAAGTTCTAAATATGCCCCCACAAAAGGCTTCCTTATGGGCTGGGTTGCTGCCCAGCAGGCAGAGAACAATCCCATGGAGCTGTGGGACACTCAGGGAAATTCCACAGTGTTATCTACAAGCAAACACTGCTGTGGGGATGTACCAATGAGCTCCTAAAGGGAACAAAAAAGTCTCATTTCTTTTTAATTTGTTTGTGTTTTTCTTGTAAGCGACTGTTGGGCGAGCAGTGATTCAAATGATTTTATAAATTGGAGCATTTTATACCTTGTCTTTTTGATTTTTGCTGAGTTTGTTTTTTATTGGAAAATAGTGGTGTGGGAAAGTATTTTTGCCTTTATTCTATGGATGTATAATTTTGTCTCAGCCAATTTGGCCTCAGGTGTTCCCTGGGATGCGTGAGCCAGGAAACTGGGGGACAGGAAAAAGCTCAGGTTTGTGTGGGGCACAGACCCAGAGCCTCCCAGGACAGCCTTGGAGTGCCCCAGGGTGGGGGCTGTGCTGGGCTCTGGGTTACCACAAAATCTGAGGCACCCCATGAAGGAGCTGTGACCCCTGTGCCCACCCAGCCACTCACCATCCCTGGCACCCCCATTCCCCTAGGAAGCCAACCATGGGATCCCCATTGCTTTGGTCTCTCCTCCCTGGGGACCCCCATCCCAGGACTGCCATTGCCCAGGACCACCATTGCATTGATCCCATCCCATGGGCTGCTTCTTCCCGAGGGTCCCCTTTTTTCCCCTGCACCCCCAACACTGGCACCCACATGCCATGACCCAAAATTCCTGGAGACCATGTTCCTCCAGCATTCCCATCCCTTAATCCCCCCAGGCATGGAGACCCCAATTCCCCTGGATCCCCATTCTGGACACCCATCCTTAGTTCCCTGCATCCTCTGAGCCCCCCACTCCTGACAACAGCTTTTCCCACCATGTGCCCAGACTATCCCATAATGTCCCCAGCCTGTCCCCTGCTGTGTCTTCTTTCCCCCACCCTGCCCGCACCAAGGGCCACCTACACGTGGGGATGAAACGTGACCTCGCTTCCTTCCCCTTCATCTGAAGAGCCACCAGCCAGGGGAGGCTACAGAAGCCAGTGACAGCCAGTCCACATGGCTGGGGACACGGGGATGGCCGGGAAGGCGGCGCTGCTCCTGTGGGGTGAGTGCCCCAGGCACAGGCCTGACAGCCTGGGGATGGGCCCTGGTGGGGAGGGGGCACAGGGGGGCCGTGAGATCCCCAGTGCCAGCAGTGCCAGAGCATGAGGTGACTGGGGCTATAGGGTGGCTGTGGGACAGGACAGGTGGTACAGGGCTGGAGGGACAGGAATGTGGGGAGAGGCATCCTGGAGCTGGGTCAGCTGTGGAGACAGGGACTAGGAGAGAAGCACCAGGTAGATGTCCCAGGCCATGGGGACAGAGGCTCTGGGGCTGGTGGGAGTGACCTGTACCAGCACAGGATCCCCATCGAGACATCTATGCCACACCAACGTCCCCATGGGGACAGTTTGGGGACAGCCCCTACAATACATGTCCCTGTGTGCTGCTGTCCCCACGGTGCCACCCCCACCCAGCCCTGTCCCTTCTACCTTCCAGCCCAGACCCTCGGACTCACTGGTGAGTCCTCGGGGGATGCCATGTCTCCACTCTGCTGTCCCCAGCCCCATGCTGGTCCTGGCAGGCTGGTGTCCCCTGTCACCTGCAGGCGCCCAGACCCCCCCAGTGCCTCGTGGAGCCACCCTGAAGGGCGGTGGTGCTGTGGGACTGGGTGACGCTGTCCTGCCAGGGCTCAGGGACTGCCGATGCCACCACCACAAGGATGGGCAGCGCTGGGGGCAGCAAGAACGCGAGCACGTTACCGTCACCGAGAGACAAACCTACATGTGTAACAGACCAAGCACTGGGCTCAGCCCTGCTGTGAGAGTCTTAGATGGTGAGGGATTTCTGGACATCCCCAGCCTGGCACCCACGGTTTCCCCAAGGCTCTGGGTGGGCTCTGCTCCATGGGTCACCTCCTGGTGTGACCGGAGCCCATCCCCTGCACATGGGCACATCCCAGAGGCTCCCAGTGCCAAAGGACCCTGTTTGTAGAATTGGGGATCCTTGGTGCACTGGGTGTGACCCAGTACGGGGGTCGCGGTGGCATCAGGACCCTCCAGGTCCCCCAGGTATGACAGGTCCTCTGTGTCCCACAGCCACATCAGTGCTGCAGGTGCAGGCATAGGCGCTGCTGGAGGACAAGAAGGTGACACTGCGCTGCCAGCGCTGGCAGGACAACTCAGTCAGTTTGGTGTCCTTCTACCATGAGGAGAAGAAACCGTGGAAGCTCTGCAATGGGACCAAGCTGTTCCTGTCCCTTCTGCAGCTGCACCACAGTGGCCGCTACAGCTGCAAGGGCCAGGTGAAATCCAGGGTATCATGGAGATGGGAGGAGTCCGCACCGGTGACAGTGACACTGCACAGTGAGCAGCTCACAGCTGCCACCCCCACAAGCCCTCCCCAGGGACTTGGGTTCACAAATCCCCCTCTCCTCTCCTTCCCAGAGCTCTTCCCTGTGCCGGTGCTGGAGGGTCCCCCTGAGCCAATCGAGGGGGCTCCCTGAAGTTCGCCTGCCTCAGCACCCCAGCCCCCTGTGGCCCCAAGCTCCCATCCTGCACGTGTTCTACTGGGACGGGCAGGTGGTGGGGGGCCCGCAGAGGTCCCCACAGTTGCTGGTACCCGCCGTGGGGTCTCCCATTCGGGGAATTACAGCTGCGAGGTGCATTCCGAGGGGGGAGCTGTGTGGAAGAGCAGCGCCTGGCTCCACGTCATGGTGTGCAGTGAGTGCGAGGATGGGCACGGGGAACTCCCACAGCCTGCTGGAGTGCCTCCATTACTGCCCAGGTCCCCCCATCCCTCACTGAGTCCCTTCACCCATCTCTGAGTCAACCCTACCCCTCTCTAAGGTTCCCCCACGTTCCCCAAGTCCCACCATTCCTCCCCCGGGTTCTCATACCCTCACTGGGGTCTCCTCATCTCCCTCATCAGGTGTCCCCTCACTGAACCCCCCATGCTTCCTTGGGGTTCCTTTCCGACCCCCCCCCCCCCCCCCCCACATGCTCTGCAACCCTCTCCCTCTCTGGGCTCTCCCTGCCCTGCCCCAACCACCCTCTGAGTCCCTCTCTGTCCCCTGGTGTCCCCCCTCCCGCAGGGGTTCCACCCTCGGGATGTCATGGTTGGCACAGCCTACTGGGGGACAGGTGGCACTTTGGGACTGCCTGGTGCTGAGCTCATGGTGGCTGTGGGGACAGGTTCCCTGTCCTTCTCCTGGTACCTGTGGGGGGCTTGGGGGCACTGTTGGGCACCTGCCCCCACCTGGAGCTGTGCCATGCTGGGGTCAAAGGCAGTGGCTGTTACCAGTGCGGGGACAGTAGTGCCGAGAGTGTCCCCCTGAATGTCACTATCTTGGGTGAGAGGAACCCTTGGGCTGAGGGTGACCCCACCCACAGCACTCTCATCCCACCTCACCATCTGCCAGCCCTGTCTGTGTCCCCGCAGTACCCGTGGCCAATGCCACCATCACCCCCGGTCCCCTGGCACACCAGGTGCGCACAGGTGACCCCATGACCCTGCACTGCTCGGTGCAGGTTGGCTCAGCCCTTGTCACCTTCACCTGGCTGCACGACGGGCAGGAGGTGGCCCAGGATCCCCTCCTGGAGCTTGGGGATGTCATTGTGGGACATTTGGGCACCTACCAGTGTGTGGCCACCAATCAGCTGGATGGGCACCGGGCACCCAGTCCAGAACTGGCCCCGGAGGTGACAACACAGGAACAGGGCACAGGTGGAGTCACACAGGGTCACACAGGGCGTGCAGGAGCCCCGGGCTTCAGGGTGACCCCATTGTGTCTCTCCCTGTCCCCACCAGTGGCCCCAGGGGTCAGCAGGTCCCTCCTGTTCCTGGTCCTGCTTGTGGCTATCTTCAGGGGCTGGCACTGGTGGCACCACATGGGTGGGTGACAATGAGGGGGAATGGGGGTCCCAGGGATTGGGTTGAAGCCCTCCCCAGAGTACGGGGGCCATAAGGTGGCACCAACAGCTCCTGACTTGGGTAGAGCTGAATCCTCAGGGATGTCCTGGGGGATTTGGGGAGGTCCTGCAGGGTTTTCCAGGGAAGTTGGGGGTTCTATCAGGGGTTTGGGGGAGTTTGGGGGCGTGGGGGGTTCAAGGGGTGGTTCATGGCTTTTTGGGGGCTTCAAGGAATCTCCAGGCTCCCAGGGACAGTCAAAGGTCTCGAGGGTGTTCAGGAACCCTGAGGACTCCACAGCCACCCGTCTCCCTTTCTTTTGCAGCCCTCAGGAAGCAGCAGGAAAAGTGAGTGGGGGGCTCCAGTTCTGATCCCCCATTTTACACTAACTGTGACACTCCCCCCACCCCACCCCACCCCCACTCTTTATCCCTGCAGGGCTCCCCCAGCTTCCTTGGCCCCCTCAGAGGCAGGGGAGGTGCTGTACAGCCGGGTCATAAAAACCAAGAAGGCAGGGGGTGAGTACGGAGGAGCAGACAGGGACATGTCACCCATGGGTGTCACCTCCCACCAAGGTTCCCCCAACTGGTGTCTCTTGCAGTGCCCCCTGTGCCACATCCCTGCGGGTGACCAACACGGAGCTGCTGGGACCCCATGGGCAACAGTGGGACCCTGATGACATCAACGAGAACGTGCTGTGACACTGGGGAGCCCTGGGGGCACTGGAGGTCCATGTGTGTCCACCCTCCAGTTCCTGTGGGTGCCCACCATGCCAGGGGGGTGGCCAGGAGTGGGGGGTCCGATGTGGGGTTGCCCAGAGCTCCCTGTTCCAGTGCTCCCAGTGCTCCCAGTGCCCCCAGGGGCTCCCCATTCCTTTCCCCAGTGCAGGGGGCACAGCCACCCTTTCCCTCTCATGGGACCGAAAATGCAGCTTTTTGATGAAAGAAGGGGAAATGGTTTTTGTTTTTTCAGCTCTGCCCTATTCAGTTCAGGAAGGAGGAGGGTCCTGGTCAGGTTGTTGAACAGATCAGTGTGGAATTTGCACGATTTTTGGGGCTCTGTCTTGGTTTGAAAAGACCTTCTGTTAAGGAAGGTAGGAGCTTCTATTGAAATGGAAAAGATAACCTCCTTCCCTCTGAATTATTATAATTTTGGAATTAAGGAACTCTCAGGTAAAGATATGGGAGTAGGGATAACAGTCCTTTATTAGGAAAAATGTTAAAAATAAAAATAAAAAATTGTTGTAGATGAATAATGAGATGATTGGCTCTTGCAATTAAGTGATGAATATTAAGAGAAGCTTTATTGATGTATAGTTACATTATTGTGACTATATTGTTGTTTAGGTGTCCTCTATTCTCCCCCTAGTCCCCTTTTCCATCCCTCTGTATTGTTGCCACCGGACAACCTGGATTATCCAGGACAGGTAAAAGGAAGGTGTGTACATGTTTCCCTTGCAACATGCAAGGGGCAGTTGAGAATGGAAAAGCTTGTTGCTAGTGGGGGAAGCACAGCATGACAACACCTGGCCCACCAATCAAGTTGCAAGAAAGCAGTCTCCACCAATAAACGGCAAAGAAGAGTTGACTGACAGACCTTGGGAGGGGCCAGGGTTGGCTGATGCAACCCCCAGAGGTATAAAAGGCAAAGCACGCATTTTGAAGATGAGCCATGTGGTAGGCAGCCACCAGGGGGGCTTCCAGGCCTGTTTTTCCTTATTTAGTAATTTTGTTGCATTTTTGCTAAGGTTTAATAAACCTGTTAAAATTCTTTAAGTGAACAGTTGTTTCTCATAAAAATAAAAATAAAATGCAGTTATATAAAACAACACTGACAGAGTTAAAACACAACCTGACACCCTGTGTATCAGGATATTGGTAACAGTTCATTAAATGGTGGTTGCAGTCCTCCTGGAGTTACAGGTGTGGTACTGTTGGAGCAGTGATCCTGTAGAAGGGTGGAGTTTTTCTCTGAAGGTTCAGTGCTGGTGTAGATGGGCTTGGTTTTCCTCTGGGAAAGCAGTGTGAAAAGGCTGGGTGTGGTGTTCCAAATGTCAGATTATATCCAGGTAGGAATACTTGGCTCCTCACCCTGGGTGGAGCATCTCCCAGTGGAATGATGTAATTTTATCAGTCATGCAGTGACCACCAATGGCCCATTAACAAAAGGATTGGTTGTGGAAGAGATAAAGAAAGCTGTCCCACCTGGTTTTAACAGGTAACTCAATTAACAGAAGATAACTGCTCCACCTCTAACAGATGGCAAATAGAATACACACCCCCAGTCACATCTTGTAACCTGAGACAGAAGCCATGGGTGTACCAGGAGTGCTGAGAGGGGGATTGCAGAGACACTGGGAGTACAGGGGTACTGGGAGGTAGAATGGGAAACACCTGGATATACTGGGAGCAATGGAGAGGCACTGGGAGTGGAAATAGGGAGCCCCTGGGGGTACTGGGAGCACTATGGGGACAGAATGGGGAAGTCTCTGAGAGTACTGGGAGCACTTGGATGTGGAATGGGGAGGCACTCGTGGTAGGGTGGGGAAGCCCTTGGGGTTCTGGGGGAACAGGGAGCTCTGGGTGCCCTGTGCAGCCTCACATGTGACCCCCACTTGTGCCCATCTACTCGTGAATATCGGGCACCAACAGGAGCAATGGGGGGGGGGCACACATGTGTGGCTGCCCATTGGTAGAGTCCCCCACTGCCCCGCAGTTCCCTCAGAACCCCTCAGTGCCCACCCGTGCCCCGAGTGTCTCAGCACATTCTCGTATATGTCACCAGGCTCTCGCATTCACCTGTGGGTTGCTGGCAGCTCCACGTAGGTCACCTGGGGATCCTGGAGTGTAGTGGCATGGGGGACATTGCAAGAGACACTGGCTGTGGGATCTGGGTGGGGTGAAACTCGTGGGTGACGTGTCCCTCTGCATGTGCCCCCCCCTGTACTCACCCCCCATTTGCTTGGTGATTACAACGTGGGGGTACAGCACCTCCCCCTCCTCTGGGGGTTCAGGGGATCCAGAGGAGCCCTGAGGGAATAAAGGGGATTTGTGGGAGGGAATGGGAGGTCTTAGGGGTTGGACGAAAAGGGGAGTGTGTGATTTAACCCCCCCCACTCACCTTTCCTTGTGATTCCAGGCAGCTGCAAAGGAAAGAGGAGAGGGATAATTGTAGAATCCCCAGGACCCTGACCACTCTCAGGAATTCTGGCCCCTCATTTTCTCCCAGGACTCCTGAGCATCCCTAATGTCCCCCAGAATCCCTGAACTTCCCCTGTGCTCTCTTATCACCAGTCAGAGTTCCATGTACAAATCATGAATGGGATGGGACTGTTGTGGAATGCATGTAGAGCTGTTTATTTTCCAACATCAGTTTCATTACATAGTTATGACAATGGGAATATGCCAGCAGCTCATATCCCCAGCAGCAGACAAAGAATTTAATGTTACAACTTAAAAAAAATTTTGACCAATCACACAAAGCAAAAGCATACTGACAGTAGTTCTATCCAACCACTATAAGCACACTTACCTTTGGTTAAAACAATGCTGGCTTATTTTGAGTACAATACCCACTTGTAAGCCTTAAAACACAATGCACAGAGCTCCATTATAAAGTTTAGAACTTCCTAATACCTCGCTAGATATAATTTTATGTAGCTTAGGGAGTTATTCTAGCCAAGCTTTAATACACAAACCGTTCTATTTGTCCTTACTTTCTACTTGTTTCATAACATTTCTGCTGAAAAATCTTATGGCTACTGCTTAGCTCTAATTGCAGTTTTGCTGTCCCTGAGGCCTGCCTTTTGCAACTTTCCTAAAACCCTCTGATTTTAAGGATTCACATACTCTGGACCCCTTAAGCCCCCAGAATCCAAAGGTTGGCAGGGATGGAGACTCTCCAGATTCACCCAGAATCACTGAAAGAACCCCCAACTGTAAAGACGTTTGTGGCGGTTCCACGGACGGTTTGGGTGGCTTCAGACGAGAGATCTCTGTTGGTTGCTCTTGGGGGATGAGGTTTATTCAGGATGGAGAGAGGCCCTGCCTCGTGCTGCGTAGCAGCACGTGGCTGGGCCTGAGGTGATGGAGGAGGGGAGAGACAAAAGGGGGAGCAGGGACTCCAGGAGGAGGATGTTCCAGGAGGGGAGGGGAAGATCCAAGAGGGCGTCTGGCCTTTCGGAGGCCCCTTATCAGGGGGACTTCAAGGTGGGCTGGAACTGGACTTGGGCCAATGGGGTTACAGACACTTGATGTTTCAGGGGAGGGTTACAGGTGTGGGGTGAACCATACATTCTGAGGGGAGAGGTGGAACAGTCCATTTGGCTTTTGGACCCCTCTGTAGGTAAGGTTATTGTCCAGCCAGTAGAGGTCATGATATTCATCCTGGCTGTACTGTTGTGGTTTTTCTGCTAGACAATCATATTTATCTATCCTTCCCAACATCTCCCCTGTTTTCACTGAACCATTTGAAATACTAAATATTGACTTAACAACTATTTTTTGCACACTTGGAGGTGTACAGGGTATTGCTACTAAAACGATACTTATTACTACTGGAACAGTCAAGCTTGTTTTACAGAGTTCCTTTAGTAAGGTGCAAGGCTCAAACCATTAGATAAACTGTGTAGCTGAGATGGGTTAATTGTTATCAAATCACTGATTATAGTAGGGGTGGCAATATTAGAATTTTTTGGGAAAGGTCTTATAATTAAGCGGGTTGAAAAAGGTTTGTTAGGGTTTGTGTTAGATATATAGGTGGTCTTAGAGCTTGCAGGCTTGGCTAAAGCTACCCAGGCATTTGTCTTTGGTTGAATTACAGGTTAAACTTCAATGCAAAATCTGAAACAGAGGAACAAAAGCAACATGTACGCATATAAACAATCGAAGTCCATTTTCTCTTGAACTGTTTCTGGCAGGTCATTTTCTCTTGATGACTCAGCGCAGTTCAGGTTTGGGTGCTGGCTTCTTGGCTCGTACTTGCAGAGGTACTGCCTGGTCGGGGGGTGCCGGCAGATTTCGGTGTGTGGTAGGGCTTCACATTCTTTGCTGGGACCCACTGGAGTCCTTGGTCTGTAGAAACATAAGCAAACCCTTTTCCCCATGTTATAAGGTGATATGGCCCTTCTATTTGTCCTGAGTCTAAGTTTTTAATTAAGACTGGAGGGTGTTCCTTAATTTTTGCTTTTTTGTTGTTCAGAAAGTGTCTATAAATGGGGGGGGCAGGCTCTTCTGTAGAGCTATTTAGAAAATTCTAAACATACAGAGCCTTACTCAATCTCTTTTGAGGTGTAGCCTGATCTACTCCTCCTTTCTGTTGATTTAAAATGCGTTTTAGGGTTTGGTGTGTTTTTTCTACAATTCCTTGACTCGTGGGAGGGTGAGGGATGCCAAAAGTATGGCAGACACCCCAGTCATTTAGGAATGTAGCTAATTCTTGTGAGGTATATGAGGGACCATTATCAATTTTAATCTCTTGGGGAACACCTAAATAGGAGTAGGCTTGTGAGAAATGCTGGCAGACATGCTTGGCTGTCTCCCCTGTATGTACAGAGGCAAAAATTGCATTTGAAAATGTATCAATAGAGACATGGATGTTTTTAAATTTCCCAAAAGAGGGATATTTAGTGATATATGTTTGCCATTTCTGTAAGCTCTCTAGCCCTCGCGGATTGGTGGCTGCTGAAGGGGGGAGGGGTTGCACATGCTGACAGTTTGGGCAAGCTCGTACAATATTTTGTGCTTGCTCTAGGGAAATGCGAAAGTCTCGTTTGATGGCCTGTGCGATTTGGTGAAAAAATGCATGGCTCAATTTGGCCTGTTCAATAGTGTTGGGCAAGGTGGTTGCAGCAAGCACTGAGGTGGATTTTTCAATGCCTGCTGTACCTTCCTCATCAGATGCTGCTTATGCCAGTGCATCAGCACGTGCATTTCCCTCTGCCATGAATCCTAGAAGACCAGAGTGAGCCCTGATATGAGAGATAAAGTAGGGATTAGCCCTGTGTGATAAAATGTGATATAAACAGGTGAGCCAGAGACACAACTTGTTGTTGTTCACATCCTTCAGAAAGTATCCCTCAATTCTCTTAATGACATTAGAAACATATGCCGAATCCGTGATCAGGTTGAAAGGTTCTGGAAAGAGCTGAAATGCTCTTACAACTGCAGCCAATTCAACAATTTGAGGAGAACTTTCAACTTTTTGGACATCTTGTTCCCAGGTTTTAGTGTTTGTATTTTGCCATGTAACAACTGAATTGTGCGTTCGCCCTGACCCATCAGTGAAGATAATGACTGCGTTTAGAGGCTCTTCACTGATCATGGGCTTTTCCTTGTAACATAATTTGGCTTTGATCATTTTGTGCGCTGGATAATGAATCGAGCAAGCGCCTGGGAAATCAAGCAAGGCATACAGCAGGTCCTCTGATTTTTGCATTGCCCAGTCAAAATAGGTTTTTTTCATGGGCAAGTAAATAGGTTCAAACTCACCTCCTGCTATTGAAAGAAGCCTTGCTCTGCCTTTGATGATGATCTGTGACATCATTTCTAAAGGTGTGAGGATTGTCTTTGGTGACCTGTAGGAAATAAAAACCCATTCAATTATTAACAGTGGATCTTTGAGAGAAGAGTCCCATTGGAAGATGAGACCACACAGCCTCAACTTTTCCCCCAAGATTGCAAGGAAAAAGGGTTGACCAGGAACATAATGATGTGCCTGCCTGTTCTGCAGAGCTTCAGTGATGTGTTCTAGGGCCTTACAAGCCTCTGGAGTGAGAGATCTGGGGGATCTGAGCTCATTGTCCCCTTTTAACAAATCAAAAAGTGGAGCAAATTCGTCAGCAGTTATTCCTAGGACAGGCCTAACCCAATTAATTTCCCCTAAAATCTGTTGTAAGTCCTGCAGAGTGCGGACATTGGTTCGGATCTGTATCTTTTGGGGGGAATAGACTGATCTGTCAGTTTCCAACCTAAATACTTCCAGGGGGCAGTTTCCTGTATTTTTGATTCAGAGATCACCAGTCCAGCTTTTTTGACTTCAGCAACAGCATAACCACAAGTCTCTCTCATCTGTTCTTGCATTGGTGCTGCAATAAGCAGATCATCCATGTAGTGGAGGATAACGGATTGTGGGAACTTCTGGCAGACTGGAGTCAGCGCGCGGGCCACGAAATATTGGCAGATGGTAGGTGAGTTTTTCATTCCTTGTGGCAGAGAAAGCCAAGGATACCTTTGAAGCGGTTCTTGTAAGTTTGTACTCGGGACGGAGAAGGCAAAATGAGGATCATCATCTGGATACAGTGGGATGTTGAAAAAACAGTCTTTCAGATCTATGATGATAAGAGGCCACTCTCTGGGGATCATGGACAGGTTGGGCAGGCCAGGCTGGAGAGGGCCCATGTTCTTGATCACCGCATTGATTTTTCTGAGATCGTGTAGCAGTCGCCAGGTGTTAGAGATTTTCTTATGGATCACAAATATAGGTGTGTTCCAGGGGCTGTTAGTGGGCTTAATGTGGCCCTTTTGCAGTTGTTCTGCTACCAGTTCCTTGAGGGCACTCAGCTTGTTATCTGGCAGGGGCCACTGATCGACCCAGACAGGGGTGTCAGTCTTCCAGGTCAGTTTCGGAGTGCTGAGTGCTTTAGTGGCCCCTACAAAAAACCCAGTTCGAGTTTAGCTTTAGTTTTTTTATACAGAAAGCAAGTCCCTTCCCCATACTGTCATGGGTTTCTGTACCACACAGGGGCGAATCAATGCTTTCATCCTGTCAGGCCCTTCAATGCTGATCACAGATTCACTTTGCAAGCATGGAGTGATGCCTCCAATGCCTGTGAGAGTGCCTGGGGGAGGTACCAACCTCCAATCAGTTGGCCAATAGCAAGAAGAAATTACAGAAACATCTGCCCCTGTGTCAATCATCCCCTTGATGTTGACTCGAACCCCGCCATTTGATAATTCACAAGTCAGCATCGGTCTTTGTTCACTTATGTGTTGAACCCATAGGACCTCGGGGTTTTCAGAGGCGACTGGGAAGCAACATGATGGTATCTGGTCCATGGTTCCCATAGGCAGTGCAATGGCAATAGCTATAGGGGTTCTAGGTGGAATATGCAATGGGGGGTAGTAAGCCTTGGCTAACACTAATACTTCTTCATTGCAGTTAACAGACATTACACAAGGCAAAACAAGTAACCCCAGGATGCAATTCCTTTCTTTGCCAACTATTAGGAAGTCCTGCCGGAGTTGTGAAGGCCCAGTGATTCCTGTCGAAATATAGTCATAGCCATCATCCTTTAAGAAGGTTGTTGGCTTGGAGGTCACCAGAGTGCACCAGGTGCCTGGGGATAGTAAGCTTGGGTCATTAGCTGGGATTGTGCTGGTGATGAAGCGAAGGGCATTGGGGTCGGGGTATTCACAGATTTTACCTCGGGAGTTTGGGGGGCCACTATTTGTTTCGTCACGCGGTGGCGCGGCGTGCTCACCTTGGAGTTTTTTGGAATGAGTCTTCTACTCGCATCATGTTTGGATTGGCACTGCCAGGGTAAAGGTTTTCCTTTCTTGCAGGTGGTGCACGAATCAGGCGTTTGTGGGCTTTTGTTGATTTCTGTGCAATCCTTTACAATGTGGCCAGGTTTTTTGCAGAGGTAGCAAGGTCCCAAAGGCAGAGCAGCTTGCATGACAGCCATGGTGTTGTAGTGTTGCTGGGAATTGAGATGCAAGGCAGCCAGAAGTTCAGTAAGTCTCTGGTCTCGTGCTTCTGCCTGTTGTGCTTGTGCTGCAAGAGCCCTTTCCAATTTGTCTCCCCGAGTTTCTTCAGGTTCACTTGCTTGGACGACTGCCACGTCATGTGGGCTCCCAACATAGTTGCATGCTTCAATCATTTCAGGCACTGTAGGTCTTTCTTTCCCTAGGGCCTTGATGATTCTTTTGCATTGGGCGTTGGCATTATTCTCGAGGATGTCCCAGATCATTATTGGCCAGGCCAAATCATCACCACATTGCCTTTCAGTAGCTTGAATTACCCGGTCTACAAATGTGGTGAATGGTTCAGATGAGCCTTGGGTAAGTAGATTGTATGCCTTTTTGGAAGTTCCCGCTGGCTGAATCTGTAAAAAGGCTCTGTGAGCCATCCTCTTGACGTCATCTAACACCATTTGGGGTAAATTCACCTGATGTTCAATCTTATAATCCGGTGGGTCACCTGTTAATTTAGACAAGGTAAGGGTGCAAAGGTCTGCATCAGTACTTTGTCTATATGTACTCAGGACCCCCGCAAGCATTCTCTTCCATTTAAGATCCCATAATATATTTTGTGAGTCTGTAGGAAATGTGGTGGCAAGATGTTTGCAGTCATTTGGTGTGAGTGTGTGTCTCTCCAGGGTACTTTTCAACAGCTGCTTGAAATAGGAAGAGAAGATACCACCGCCATTAACTGCTTTTCGCAACTCTTTTAAGTCCTGGGAAGAGATAAATGTCCACGTTCTGGGATTAGCAGGTTGCTGGCTGGGTAACACAGGCATGGTTCGGGGATTCAGACTATCCTCTTTGTGACTATCATATTTGATTTCAAGGCAGTTTGTCAGTTGGAGATTGTTAGCACTTTGCTGAGAATTTGGTGAAATTGGGATAGGAGGGTTAGGGTTTGCAGGGGTGAAATAGTTCTCTGTCTGTCCTTTATTTGTCAAAGCTGCTGTCACATTGTTTCCTTCCTCCTCTCGCTGCGTGGTTTCTGTGCCAAGCTGCGGTGGGGTGCTGCTTGTGCGGGAGGCAGGAGCTGCTGTTAGCTGAGGCAGAAGAACAGGAGGAGTGGAGCCTGCCAGCAGAGGCACCTGGGAAGAACTGGCGTCTGTGGAAGGATACTCTGTAGCTGTATCTTTGGGTGCAGCTGTAGAATGTAGATTCGGTGGAGGGAGGGATGCGGAGGGATATGGTGGTAGAGGCAAGGAACCCGGAAGTGGTGGTGGTGGGAGCAGCCGGGGTTGTTCAGCCAGAACCGAGGGCTGGGGCGCTGCGGTGGGGGGGCGTGGGGACGTCAGGTTTGCGGCCGCCGGGGGGGCCGGCCGTGGGCCCAGGATGGGGGGAGGCCGGCAGGGGCGTGGCACTGGGTCCCGAAACAGCTTCCCACGGTTGGGGGGGGTCGGGTTGAGGCGGGACACTGCTGGGTCCCGAAACGGCTTCCCGAGGTTGGGGGGGTCGGGCACAGGGAGCGTGTGGGATGCCTGGTTCGCGGCCGCGGGGGCGGGCTGGCGGGGGTCCATGAGTGGAGGGGCCGGCAGGGGCGCGGCACTGGGTCCCGAAACGGCTTCCCACAGCTGGGGGGGGTCAGGCAGGGGCGGGGCGGCCGTGGCGGCGAAAGTGTGCAATGCTTGCAGGATGGCGGCTGTTCCTTGAGTTTGCGCCTGCAAAAAAGCCGGTATTTGACTCTGCAGAAGGTCGGCTATATAGTGGCCACCATAGCCAGGACAGGCGCCGCTGGGGGGAAGGCGTGGCCACGGCAGGGAGGGGTGGGACGGCCGCAGGGGTGGGGGCCGCGGAGCGGCTCGGGGGGGGGAGAGGTGGAAGCAAGGGCGGGGTCTGGGCTGCACGGGGGAGGGGGGGGAGGGCGTGGCCACGACAGGGAGGGGTGGGATGGCCGCAGGGGTGGGGGCCGCCCGCTCGGGAGCCGCCGCATGGATGGCGTGGTCGCCGGGGCAGGGGGTTTCCTGGCGGTGCGGCGGGGACTGCAGGGCTGTGGCAGGGGGGGATTTGGCAGCTATCAGCGGCTTTTGAGAAGCGCAGAGCTCTGCCAGCGTCCTGTACGCCTGAAGTAGTTCGCAAGCCTCGGGATCACGACGTGAAATATCATTTAAAAGTCTATTTCCAACTGAGTCCCAAAAGTCTCTACAAAACACAGCTGAACAATCGGCATTTGGAAAATTAAGTAAGATCCATTCTAGAAGGTTCTTTAACTCTTTCTTAGACAAGGTACTGTTATGGCTACGTAAAAGGTGTTTAAGTTGCTTGTAGAGATCTCGGTCAGATGCAGAGTGGGATTGTCCCATTTTTAAACCAGTGTGGCTCACCTCAGTGTCGCAGAAGCAGGGTCCTCTGTCGGGTTCCAACATACACTCCAGTCGGTGCTTAGGACTCTCCGTGGGGGTCTCCTCAGAGCTCCGGGTTCGGGTGTCACTCAGGGATGGCTTCCGGTGCTCGGGAGCTCCAAACCCCCCTCAGAGCTTCAGCACGGGCAGTGCAAAGCAGTGCTTGCCTTTTGCTCTCTGCACGTGGCAGCGTGCCATGGCAAGTCTCCTCACAGATCTTCAGGTTGCCGCCAATCTGCAGCAGTCAACTGTGCTCGGAGATGTAATGGGCAGAAATCCTCCAAGGGCTCCGGAAACTCTCTACTTGGTAACGAGTCACGGTGCTCGAGGATTGCCTCGGCAATTTTTAAAGAGCTCTGGCTTCGACACTACCTAGCAGCAAAATGCCAAGCTCACGACACCGATGGGGAGGAAACACCTGGTTATTTAGTTACCGTCCATGGAGGGTGTCCTACAGGTGGAAGAGCTGGAAAGGCATCCAGACAGGTGTGGTTGCAGGTCACCGTGGGGTCGTATTTGAAGTTGGGCACCAGTCTGTAAAGACGTTTGTGGGGGTTCCACGGATGGTTTGGGTGGATTCAGACAAGAGATCTCTGTTGGTTGCTCTTGGGGGATGAGGTTTATTCAGGATGGAGAGAGGCCCTGCCTCGTGCTGCGTAGCAGCACGTGGCTGGGCCTGAGGTGATGGAGGAGGGGAGAGACAAAGGGGGGAGGAGGGACTCCAGGAGGAGGATGTTCCAGGAGGGGAGGGGAAGATCCAAGAGGGCGTCTGGCCCTTCGGAGGCCCCTTATCAGGGGGACTTCAAGGTGGGCTGGAACTGGACTTGGGCCAATGGGGTTACAGGCACTTGATGCTTCAGGGGAGGGTTACAGGTGTGGGGTGAACCATACATTCTGGGGGGTGAGATGGAACAGTCCATTTGGCTTTTGGACCCCTCTGTAGGTAAGGGTATTGTCCAGCCAGTAGGGGGCATGATATTCATCCTGGCTGTACTATTGTGGTTCTTCTGCTAGACAATCATATTTATCTATCCTTCCCAACACCCAATATCTCTGCAAGCCCCTCCAACACCACCCCATATCTTTGAGGACCCCGAGCAAATGTCCTGAGCATTCAGCGCTGCCCAAGTCAGAGGTTCTGGGTGCCACCCCATCACTCATTGCCACACATTCAAGGTGGCCTGCCACCTCCCCAGGGGCCTCGTTGTCCTCATTGTCACCCACCCATGTTGTTCCACTGGTGCCAGCCCACAACCACACCCATTAGCAGGACCATGAATAGGAGAGACCCACAGCGGGGTGGAGACATGGCATTCCCTGAGGACTCATTAGAGAAACTGAGGGTCTGGGCTGGAAGGGAGAAGGGACAGGGCTGGTGGGGGTAGCCCTGCAGGGACAGCAACCCCAGGGGGATTAGGTGAAGTTTCTCTCCCCAACATTTTTCTGTTCCTGTCCCCCACATCAACCCCACAACTCTGGTCACACTGGGGTCCATGCCCTGCTGGCATTGCAGAGGACCCCGCAGCCCCCCTGTAGCCCACTCCCCACTGGTCTCTGTCTCACCAGGGCCCATCCCCAGGATGTCAGGCCTGTGCCTGAGGCACTCACCCCACAGGAGCAGTGCCACCTCTCCAGCCATCCCTTTGTCCCCAGCCATGTGGACTGGCTGTCACTGGCTGCTGTGGCCACCCCTCTCCTGGCTGGTGGATCTTTGGATGAAGGGGAAGGAAGCGAGGTCACATCTCGTCCCCATGTGTAGGTGGCCCTTGGTGGGAACAGGATGGGTGCAGGGTGGGGACCTTGTGGGACATGGGGTTGATGGTGGGACATGGCGGGGACATGGTGTTGCTAGAATTTGGAGGCTGAGGCTGTGTAGGGAGTCAGGGATTGGTGTCCAGGGGAATGGAGTGCCCAGGGATGGGGTCCCAAGGGAATGGGGGTCCCAGGTGTTGGGTGGACTCAGACTTGGGAATGAGGGCCCCAGAACAATGTGGCCTCCAGGGATGTGTGATCATGGGATGGGGGTGAAAGGGATGGGGTGCCAGGGGCAAGGGGGGCCCTGTGAGAATGGGTGTCTTGGGGGAATCAATGTCCCCAAGGGAAGGGGGGTCCCAGGTGCTGGAATTACTGGGATGGGGTTCCTTGGGAATGGAGATCCCGGGGAATTGCGGTCCTGGGATGGGGGATGCAGGGAAGGGGGGACAAAAGGAATGGGGATGCCATGGTTGGGGTCCCAGGGGAATGGGGGTGCCAGATATGGGCAGTGGCTGGAGGGGCCTGTTGTCAGAGGTCCTTCCCTGGGTGCCTCAGATTTTGGGTTGACCCAAGGCCCAGCACAGCCCCCTTGGGGTGCTTGTTTCCTGGGCAGGCATCACATGGGGGTCCTGGGTAGCTCTGCCTCTGTTTACCCCCCCCCCCCCCCCGCCCTTGACTTTTTCCTCACTTTATTTCTCTTTCTTCCTTATTTTCCTCACTTTTGTGCCATGTCTCCTTACCACTGGTTCCCAACTCAGGAATCCAATGGAGCACCTAAGCAGTGAACAGGTTGGGGGGACTGAGGGGAGGAGGAAAATGGGGTGTGGGGGCTGCAGGGAAGGGTGGGGAGGCCGTGGGGAATGGAGATGTTGGGCTGTGCGCCCTCAACAATTTCTTTCTCCTGGACAAGAAGGAAGAGGCTGTTTGTGCTGAGAGTCAGATGGGAAAAGGAGGCAGCCTCTGTCCTGGGGTGAAAACCAGGGTGGTCCTGTCCTGCAGGGATCCCTCTTCTGGGGGTGATCTGGGGGAAACCAGTCCCAGGGGTGACACATCCTGGCATGGGGTGGGGGGCATGTCCTGGGGGGTGGTGGCTCCAGAAATGTCCCTGCACATTCCAGGCCAAGTGCCTGTCCCAGGGGTGGCACATCCTGGGGACCCCTATCAATCCAAGCTGGGGCCCAGCCATGGCACAGCCCCACTGTGCAGGGGTGGCCATAGGGCAGCCCAGCTCTGGCCAGCCCCAGGTGGCAGCCAGGACCTGAGGGTCCCCCTGGACCCTTGGCTCTGATTTTGGCAGCTTTAGAGCTGCTGCAGAGGTGAGAATTCTGTGGGAGGAATGGTTTTACTGTGGTTTGCTCAGCCCTGCAAGAAGCACAAAAACCAGTGGGGACCCAAGCAGTGGCTCTGTGAAGGCCTTTGATGGTTTTCAGAGCAGGGCTGGCTGGAAACCCCCGCCCTGCAGGGGCACCTGTGGTGGAACCAGTCCAGAAATGCAGCAATTGATCATTTGTTCCCTTTTCCCAAGGGACTTTGAGAGCCACAAAACTACTGTAAATCCCACAACACTCTGCTTAACGACCTGACCTGGACCCTCCTTCTCCTTCCTGCCTTGCTGTGGGTAGACAGTGGCCGGATGCCCTGCACCCACCACAGCCACTTTCTCACTGCCCGCTTGTCCTGGCTTGTAAAATAAGCATGTATTCTATTTACCATCTGTTGGAGGTTGGGCAGTTTTCTTACCTCTTCCAAGAACAATGTCTCCCTCTGGGAAAAATCTTCTGTTAATGGGCCATGGAATGACTCACTGCATGACTGATAAAGTCACATCATCACATTGTGAGATGGTCCACCCAGAGGGAGGAGCCAAGCACCCCCACCTGGATAAAATCAGCATTTTTTAGGACATCAGAGCAGCCTCTTCGCTGGATTCCCAGAGGAGCAGCTTATTCTCTGCTGCATTCCCAGAGGAGCAGCTTCTTCCCTGCTGGATCCCCAGGGGAAGACCAGGCCCCTCTACTCTATCACTAGACCTTCAGAGAAAACTACACTCTTCTACAGATCATCACTTCAGCAGCATTTCATCTGCCACTCCAGGGCGAGCAGCCACCATTTAACTGGACTATTACCAACACCCTGACTCCTCAGGGTGTCAGGTTTCTGACTCTATCAGTAGTTTTGTTTGTACTAATTACATTTTTTAAAATTTAGTTTTTCCCTAGTAAAGAACTATTATTCCCATTCCCATATCTTTGCCTGAGAGCCTTTTAATTTTAAAATTGTAGTAATTCAGAAAGAGAGGGTTTACCTTTTCCATTTCATAGGAAGCTCTTACCTTCCTTTACAGACTCCTGTCTTTTCAAACCAAGACACCTACAAAAGCTGCATCCTGTCTGGCTTTCAGGGTCTTCATCGTGTCCCAGCACTCCACCTCACTCGGGACTCGAGCTGATTCCTTGGTCCTCTCATATTCCTCTTCTCCAAAGATGAGACATGGTTTGGGCCTCTCCTGGGGAATGTTGGTGAGCCCAGGGAGAGAGCTGAGTGGCGTGGAGACACCAACAGCTCCCTGTGATCCCTGAGCTGCCCACTCAGCCACCAAGATCAATGTGGGAAGTGCTGGGGAAGCTGTGGGGACCTCGCTGTCCTGTTTTGGGGTGAGGCAGGAAGGGAAAGGGTGGTTAAAGCGGCACCAAGCTGGGATGCAGGGAGCAGGATCCCTGGGGGGGGGCCAGGGCACACTGCCAATCCCTGCTCCCCAGAGATTTTGGGATGCTGCGCTGACACCCATTCCCCCAAAACCCCTCAGGGCTTGGGCACAGCCTTACACAAGGCCCCAGATCAGGTGCCTGGTGATGATTCTGGTGCTTTTTGGTTTGTATCTGATGGAGGGCTGCAATTCAGGCTGTTTGGGCACATCCTGAAGGATCACAATGAGGCTGCTGGAGCCCATGACCTGTGGGAAAGGACGATGTGAGGGATATGAAATCCCCATATTCGGTGCTCCCTGGACACTGACTGATCCTGGGAGGGGCTCTGGACCCTCGGTCGAGACATGCCCTCGGGTCATGGACTGAAGGTACCAGAGGGGCTGGGGGTCAGGAGGAGACCAGGGACAGACCTTGGGAAGGAGGGACTGAAATCCCAGTGGGAGAAGCTGCCAACAGCGGGGGAGGAGAGACTCGCAAGAGAAGTCTCCCAGACAGAGGGACTGAGATGATGAGATGGCAGTTGCAGCTGCCATGGCGCTGTCACAGAGTGTGGGAGGTATGACAATGTCCTGGAGCCGGCATCCCAATGTGATGGGACTGACGGTTGGGATGTGTCTGAACCGATTGTGACAGCACGCCCAAATTCACCATCGTGACATGTTGGGACTGACTGTTGCCATGGCAGCACCCCCAGCAGCTCCTGGGATTCACAGGATGTCCTGGAGCAGATGGGGGATGGGGGACAGGGGGCATTGGTGTGGAAGCTCCCAGAGCTGGGAAAGGCAAATCCAAGGGAAGGCAGAGATGGGATTGTGGCAGCCAAGAAGAGTGTTATAGATACATAGTATAATATTGTTACAGATACATAGTATAATATTGGCTTTTGCAAATATTACAATGGATTTTATATGTGTGGTGTTAAAGTAACCTTGTTATAAAGATGTAGTTTTTATTTCTGTTGTTAATTAAGCTTAGACATAGTAGTGAAATAGCTGATATAAGCATGTTTGTGTTAAAATGCCTGCTGGGATGGAGTAATATCCAATGAACATAGGATGAGGACACCTGCTACGGATTTGCCAACTGTCAGCACTCACCATCTGAAGACAGTGTGGACCAAGGCCCAAAGACTGGAGGTGATAGGAATGGACTAAAACCACAACCAACGAATACACATGCCCTAAAAAGGCAGATCCAAGGAGATATGCTAAACAATTCTTGGAACATGTAAACTAGTTTGGGGAAAAGTTTACTATGCATAAGGGTCTATGACTATGCAACAGGCAAATGTAATGGAAAGGTATTTAAGGGGTATCTGCAAAGATAACAGCGTGGTCTTGGCTGAGTGCCAAGATGCACCCAGCTGTAATTACCTTTGCTCTATGGTCCTTGGAGCTCTTTGGTGGGTTGTGTGTACTCTGCAGTCAGTGGTATAGACATAACAATCCTTTGGTTCTTGATCTTGGTGTCAGGAAGCTACACTTTATATTTCTGTTATAAACTAAGTTGAACTCTACATATTTTAACCGAGTGTACACAGGGAGCTAGGTGTTACTCTGGTCAGTAGAGCTCAGTAGTGATACATAAACATCTGTTTTTTTCAGGTGGTACGGTAGCTGGATGCACAGAGCTGTGCATCCAGAGCCATGTCTCTGGGCGTACTCAGCTCATGTGTGCACTCGGGGGTATGTGCAGAGCCAGTACACACACACAGGTACTTGCTTACCAGCACAGAGCCCTGGTGGACAGTGGTACCTGTCAACAGCACACACTTGCACACACACATGGAGCTCTACACACTCGGCTTGTGTACACCAGCACACGTGTGCTGCAGAGACACTCACTTATGTAGTCTCTACCAATGCACATGTGCTCACAAACATGAGACTTGCTTGTACACAGAACTTACGTACATTATCATGAGTATACAAATCTGCGCACAGTAATATGTGCAGTGTCATCAATACATATATCTTACACAGGGCTATGTTCGCACTTGTAGAACATGTGCACATTCACACAGAGCTATGCACACTGGCAAACACAGGTACTGTATGTGCAGACTCACACACCCTGACACACAAGAAGCTAGGGATTTCTTATAAAATAGGGAGTGCTGGACAGGACAAAACGCAGGTCGAACCAATATGGTTAAAGCTATGTTCTCCATTTTTTCTCTTTAAGATGGCAGTTTATATACACTTCAATATAGTTTACAGATTGTGAACACACTATCATTGGTCAGCAAACGTTTACTTTTGCCTTAAGGTGGTTAGAGCCTCACACTGTAGACTCACAGTAATTCACACTCAGATAGCTCATTACTTTGTGGTCACCTTAACATAATTTCTAACTGCACAATAACTATATTCTTGCTACACAAAAGGCTTCTCAGGCCTCACCAAGGCCGCTTATCTGAGACCCAGTCAGAGGGTAGCTCAACCCTTACTCCAAATACAGATCATGTCCTCTCTCTCTCAGAAATCCTACAACACACACATGTGCACTTAGACACACACTGGCACATCTGGAAAGAGAGTAGTAGGATATCTACTGCCTGCTACTACCTCCATTACTTTTAGGCACTAGGTAAAATGAAAAAGTTAACAGTATAGCTTAGGTATTTTGTTGTACACAAACAAAACTGCTTGAAGGCAACAGAACATTTCAGTGCACTGTAAGACTTAGCATTTTCAGGGAGAAGAAGGAAGAGCAGGGCCTTAGCAAAGCTTTGCTAACCTGTCCCCTCAGAGAGAACTTAAGTATTCAGAATGAAGCATTATTGGTTTAAAATAAAAATTACTACAGTAATGACTCAATGTTGAGTATTACTCAACAGTATGCTGCAAGAGCAGATAGAAAATTAATATTTACAAAGAAAGAGACAAGAAAGCAGGAAGTGGTAAATGGGAGGAGAAAAATAAAGCACATTCTAAGCTAGTGTTTTTCTCCAGCCTAGGAGTTGGTTTGGGCGGAGTGGGGTGTAAAGTTTTTGACTTACTTGTTCTCAGTCTTATCTTAATTAGTCTAACTACAGGCTCCCTAGACAGAGCCCACCTCCCTGATAGAAAGAAAGAAAGAAAGAAAGAAAGAAAGAAAGAAAGAAAGAAAGAAAGGAGAAAGAGAAAGAGAAAGAAAGAAAGAAAGGAGAAAGAGAAGTTTTTTTCAAGAAGCTTTCTTGAAAAAAAAAAGTAAATCAACAACTTACATCTTTGGCACATCAGCGGAAGTGGCCATCAAGATGTCTACATGGTGTTGCACCCATGCGGCTTTGTGCTGATGGGGAAGTGAAGAAGCCTCTGCACCTCCGCACCCCGGTCCCTCTTTCTCACCACACCAGTGTAGGCGACTGCTGGGATGCCCACATGGTAAATATCTGCAGCCTGGTGCTCTTGGGCCAGCCCCACTGGGCGCCACTGCCCCAGCACCCCCAAGTCGCTCCATACAGGCGAGCCCACAGTGCCGGGGTCACCTCCCAAGAGGCACCTACCGCTTGTCGTACCGCATGTGACTGCGTCCCGCACTCCAAGCCACTGCCCACTCCCCTGGCAGTGCCACATACAAAGTGCCCTCGTGCACCCTGACTGGCGCACTCAGCGGTGGCCTCCCACTGCCTGTGGCCCCCACTGCCAGCGGCTCTGCACCTCTAAATCTCCTGGTCAACAAGTGCAGCCCTCACTGCCAGCAACCTGCACCAGCAGTCTGGTGGCCCTGGGCTTCAGAGCCCCAAAAATCCTACAAATCCCACACTGATCTCTTTGACAACCTGACTGGACCCTCCTCCATCTGAGGGACCTAATCAGACAGAGGTGAACAAACAAAAACCACTTCTCCTGGTTTCATCAAAATGCTGCGTTTTGGGTCCCATAAGTGGGGCAGGGGCACTTTGACCCCTGGCACTGGGGGAAGGAATGGTGTGAAAAATTAACATGATTTGTGCTAATAATTGTGACTATATTGATATTTTAGAAAATATTTGTTAAAAAGTAATAGAGGAAAATGATATGTAATTAGTGTCACAAAACAGATGTTTTGTGACGTTCATGAGAAAATAGGATACAAGGTGGAGTATTGAGATTTCCTGAAAAAGAAACGGCCTTGGGATGAATAAAGTTAGGAAAACTCCCAGAGCAGAATTGGCATTGATGAACAGAGTTAAAATGATTCCCAAGGCAGGTTAGGCATTGAGATGAATAAAGTTGGGATATATATCTGGAAAAAAATCCAGATAGGGAATCTAAAATAGTGGCCATGACTATGAAATAATAAGGCTTATTTGGAACATAATTCTTACTTACATAACACAAAGCTTAATGCACATGCACAACTTGCCAGATTATTCAGAGGACAGCAAGGAAGATGGTGAGCCTTCCTCTGAAAAATGCACAGAAAAAGCCAAAAAGACTCCTTACCAACAAAGTGGAGCATGCGCCATGTAGTACAGTGATGTATATTTCAAGAATTGAAAATAGCAGGAGATTTACGGAAAACATTAATGAATATATATTAGCATACAGTATGTAAGTTGTGTTTCGATTTTTTTGTCTTATGTACATGAGGCAGGGTGGGAAACCCTCCCCACACCCCGATCAATTGGTTTTGCTTATGCTTTATCTGAACCACTGCCAAATTTCTTTTTATAACTACTTGATTATATTTGATTGTATTATTTAATATAAAATTCTGCTCAATTAAAATTGCTGCTAAATTTTAATTTTGTGGTTTATTAAATTGGACATATAGGGACCTCATTCATAACAATGGGGAGCCCCTGGGGGTAGGAGCACTGGGAGCACAGGAATGGGGAGCTCTGGGCAGCCCCATATGGGACCCCCACTAGTGGCCACACCCCCGGCATGGTGGGCACCCACAGGAACTGGAGGGTGGACACACATGGACCTCCAGTGCCCCCAGGGCTCCCCAGTGTCACAGCACGTTCTCGTTGATGTCATCAGGGTCCCACTGTTGCCCATGGGATCCCGGCAGCTCCATGTTGGTCACCCGCAGGGATGTGGCACAGGGGGCACTGCAAGAGACACCAGTTGGGGGAACCTTGGTGGGAGGTGACACCCATGGGTGACATGTCCCTGTCTGCCCCCCCCCCCCCCCCCCCGTACTCACCCCATGCCTTCTTGGTTCTCATGACCCGGCTGTACAGCACCTCCCCTGCCTCTGAGGGGGCCAAGGGAGCTGGGGGAGCCCTGCAGGGATAAGGGGGTGTCTTGTAGGGGTGGGGAGGGTCACAGTGAGTGTAAAATGGGGAATCAGAACTGGAGCCCCCCACTGAGGACTGTGGAGTCCTCAGGGCTCCTGAACACCCTCAAGACCTTTGACTGTCCCTGGGAGCCTGGAGATTCCTTGAAGCCCCCAAAAAGCCGTGAACCACCCCTTGAACCCCCCACGCCCCCAAACTCCCCCAAACCCCTGATAGAACCCCCAGCTTCCCTGGAAAACCCTGCAGGACCTCCCCATATCCCCCAGGACACCCAGCTGACATCTCTGGGGATTCTGGCTCCACCCAAGTCAGGAGCTGTTGGTGCCACCCTATGGCCCCCATATTCTGGGGGAGCTTCACCCCAATCCCTGG